CCCCAAAACCCCAAAACCCCAAAACCCCAAAACCCCAAAACCCCAAAACCCCTTATGACAAGACAAGAATTGAAAGACTAAAACAATACTAATCAAATTTCACTCAAACATTTCAAAACTTCAGTCTCCAAAAGCCCAGATAATCAAAAATCTCATTTTAATCCCTCTCCCTATACCCAAACCCATCTTCTCTTCCTCCTATCCCTTCTTACTAAAACAAATATCAAAGTCTATCTTTTACCAACAATATTATCCATCTCTTTAAAAGCTACTCTCTCTTCTTCTGTCCTCGGTTCCCATTCTTCATCTATCTCCTCTCCCTCTTCTTCTACTTCTGTTTCTGCTTGTGGCTCCACTCCTTGGACATCTTCTTGGACCTCTTGTGGAGGTATATTTTCCTTATCTTTTTCTTCTTCTCCGAAGATTTCATCTATTCCTTCTAAAATTGCATCATTCCTGGCCTGTTGTGACTGATTAAGGCCATCAGAAAATAAGTCATCTTCATCGTATTCTGGCTGCTCATTTGGAGGGTTAGAGAGGGTTCTAGGAGGATTGGTGGGATTTTGAGAGTTTGGAGTAGACTGGAGTTGGCTAGAGCTTTTGGATTCGGAGAAAATGACATTGTCAAGTTGAGTTTGAGTGGATTGATCAGGGTTGGAGATTTGGGAGGTAGGAGATGGCTGATTTGAAGGATTAGTAATAACTGATTTTGGGATATGAGGAATCTTCTCCTAGATAGTACTTCAAGCTTAGAAATAACTTAAATATCAGCACAATCAATAAAAAATTCATCAAATTTAGTCAATATTAAAGAAATTTAATAAGTAAATTTTTACCTCTTCATCGTCTTTACTGGCTGCTCTTTCGTTGATTCTTATTGGATATGAGTGTTGAAAAGGAAAAGAGGTATAGTACTCAAGATCTTTTTCCTTTTGACTCTTTTTAGAAGCCTCTAAATAAACAGAAAGTGGAATTTCCCCTCGCGACATTTGATCCTCAAGTATCTTCCTGATTCCGTCTCTAAACTCTCTCCTCGCCTGCGCTCTCTTCGCAGAATTTTTAACAAACTGATCACAAACTTTCACATAGAGCCTATATTCATCAATCTGCTTCTGTTTCTCCTCCAGAGATCTTTCTAGTTCTATCTTCCTCTGCTTCAACCAATAAAGGAGGTTTTCGATACACATCTTGACCCTATAAAAACTCTCACCCAAATCTCTACTACAGGTTGGCTTCCCGAGTGGCCCCTAAATTCCAGCGAGCAGAGTCTCGGCTGGCGGCTTCAGTTAAAACTTACATGTGTTGTGCCATTACTGGAGATTCGAATAATTAACTGAGTGATAAATAATTTAACTTTTTTGGGGTTTTGGGGTTTTGGGGTTTTGGGGTTTTGGGG